AGCCTGGTTCTCACGTGTGCACTCTTCACGAGCGGCAGACAATCGACGGAGTATGTTCCCGGCGAGAAGTTTAGAGACGATGTTGATTAAACTAATTCCTCTGTGGTTTTCACAAAAGGACCTGTCGCCCTTGTAAATCGGTATGATCACCGATTCACACCATTCAGTTGGAACCTGTTCCTTTTCTCACATTGAACCCAGGAGTTTTGTTAACTCCGAAATCAAGGCTAGAACTCCATCTTTAAAAACCGATGGGGACAGCCCGTCGGGGCCGGAAGCCTTATACCTTTTGAGGTAGCTTATTTCTCGGGTAACCTCTATTTCAGATGAGGGACTGATGTCAACTGGGAGTATTTGTCCAGTCGAGGCAGAGAGTGAAAAATAAGATGTCGATAGGGGCCCGTTGAACTGAGCGAACTGAGCCTTGAAGTGTTCAGCCCAACGGTCAAGACGGCGTTTCTGATCGTGAATCAGTGTGCCATCGGATTCCTTTATTACCTCACTTACGCCTATGTTCCTAGAGCCCGTATTCCTAATTAGATGAAAAAGTGTGCGACTATTACCAATAGCCGCAGTCTTCTCCATCTCTTTTCACTTTCCCACCCACCACTTCTCACGGTCATTCCTCAGACTCTTGATGAGCTGGCGTTTAAGGGATTTGCGCGCTATGTCGTATGTGACATCGGGAGGGAGGGTTCTGCGGGCGTCCAGTAGGGCAACCGAGGACGGGGAGATCCATCGTTTTTTATTTCATCGTGAGTCAGAATTTGCTGTTGTTTCGATTGACGTTTCAATCGCTTGCTTGATTGCCGTCCAGTGCTCACTGAGTCCTCCGATTGATGGTTGTGCTGAGAGACGATCTGATGGTTCCGCTTCGAAGGCCGATTTGCAACCATTGCTGACATTGTATCTTGGGCATCCGTTTTCAGTGGCTTTTCTGCGTTTGTTTACTAGACGTAGAGAGAATGTCGCTCGTAGCAGAGCATGGTCCGTGTCCATGGGTGTTGACCAGTTGGAGCGGCAGTCTTCAATGAATACTCGCCAGCGGTGGTTGATGGCAATTTGATCGATTTAAGTCCATCGCTGTGAAGCGGTTGACGGTCTCCATGTAAGACGGTGGCGATTTGTGAGCGAGAAGTTCGTGCTTGATAGAAACAGTCCATGGTCAGCAAAATGTTGGAATAGGCGTTCTCCGTTATCGGTCCTGTTGGCTGGGATTGCATGTGAACCTCCAAGTAGCCGTTCTGATTCGTCCAGGGATCCCACTTGAGCATTGAGGTCTCCAGCGACCAACACGATATCTGTTGACCGAGCACTTCGGAACAGTTGAGAGAGGTCCTTGTAGAACTCATCCTTCACTTCTGGCGAACTACAATCTGTCGGTGCATAGGCGGATACGACGAATAAACATCGACGTTTCGTTCTGTAGCTGTTGGCCCATACTGAACCATCCAGACGTACGGCGCAAAGTCGGCTGTTAACCGGGATCCAATCGAGAAGTGAACGCTCGGCCTTGACACTCAGCGCAATCCCAACACCAGCAACACCGCGAGCTTCGGATGTCGAGTCGCCTGACACACGAAGTGTGAAGCGTGAGGTTGAGGTTGGATAAGGAGAACGCAGAGGGATAATAGAAGTGGGGTCTTGTATGCGTGTTTCAGAGACACAACATTGAAAGTTTCGAGGGTTCTAGCCAGGGCAGCTTGTTGACCAATCTGATAGAGCGTGCGGACATTGAACGCGGCTAAGTGGAAAGGAGATTTTGAGTTAAAAAATTTGATATACTCTGAGTGGTTGGCCTCATTAGTTGAACACTGAGTGGTATCCGATGGTTGGTGCAAACAGCATGCATATATTAAGGTATCGGAGTGAGAAGAGAAAACAGATGGTTGAGAAAGACAGTTCTCCAAATGGGTACCTAAGACTTCTGGTTACGGCATACTTCGCGGTTGCCCACACCAACGAAGGGGTTTTTCTTTGGGAACCCTAACCGGAGCCTTTGACTTAAGAGTCTGACCCACAAGGCAGTGGGGCGTAAATTCAACGCGGGAGCGTGGACGAAGCACCCGTGGGGAGCTTCTAGAGACCTGTCACGCAAGGCCTTTGAATTTTGGTTAAGTTTGTTGTTCGCTGGTCCGTTGATTCTCGGTCCGCCTTTCGGGATCGGCCCCTAGCCTCATGCACCCAATGAGACAAGCGGGACGTGGACGGGACAGCACCTTATTGGCTAGGGGCTGCCCAGCTTGGTGGGTGGTAGCTGTCCAATGAAGTGCGAAGACTTCTCCCACCGTCGAGAGGAAGCACCAGGTACCCCGCTCCTACGTCCATCTAGCGGGTTTTTTTCGACCGGTAAACTGTTCCTCACCGTGTTTGTTTGCTGGAGTTGCCTCTCCAGGGGCGTGTGGATAGAAAAGGAAGCCAGGAGGTGCCCAAGCAGCTGGTTTTGTGAGACTGATCTTCGTCTGGCCTCTACCTCTTGACCTTTCAGGCATGATTGGATCTGCGGCTGATGAGCCGTCCTGTATAGCTCGCAGGGTTATTGAGGAGCGCAAGCCGTCACTCCACGCCAAGGTACAGTCTTGTCGTGATGGACGTTATCACCTGTGATTTATTAGACTCAAATTCTTTTTTATGGTGTTCCGGACTACCTTTTTATTCATGGAATAGACAGTTTTGTAAACCCCCACCAAACGCACTTGAATTATTTCATTTGGGGAATTCGTTGTATCTGGAGCGAATGAAGCGTAAACTGAAATCTATGAAGCACTGTACAGCTGTTTCGAGCTGCTTGGGTCTCATTCGGTTGAATTAATTGGTCAAGGAGATAAAATATCTTTCTCCGAGCATCGTTTACGGACAACGATTTAATCACTCACTAGTGAATTACTTTTTGGGCTGTATCCTACTCACAATTTTCGTCGATTCGACTGAAGCGCTCATAATGGATCGCCACAACTCTGGGATAACAATTTATTACTTTCAACGTGTTAACCAAGGTGATGGATTTGAAACTGTTCCTGAGTAGCATGCAATACTGTGCGTCTCCCCTGAGATTGTCTCCCAATAAGGTAATATATATCGGTAAAAGTGTTGTGTATTCTCTTGAAAGTTCTGATTTTATCACTGTATTGGCGTAGTCTTTTCGCCTTACGCGTTATTTATTATAATTGCTGCCTTCAGTTGAATTTCGAACCATTCTTTTGGATACAGCTTCTTAATCTTTTATGGAGCGATCCCCAAGCAGATCCGGGCTGTCGACCAAACACTTTCCGAGGAGGTGGTTGCTATTTCGGTCCGGATATTACAGAATCATTTATGAATCAATCAGGAATAAAGTGTATCATTCGATCCCATCAGTGCTTCCCCGAAGGGTGGCAGGTGGCCCACTCAGGTCATGTGTTGACTATTTTCTCCAGTGTGGATTACTATGGTCCTCGAAGCAATAATGGAGTTTATTTACGACTCGTTCCTGAGAAGGAGGTCTCCCCTGATGAACTTTCGAATAAAACGGTTTGTCTGCAACCAATTACAGTGCCTCTTGAAACCGAACCAACATTTCCGGATGCAAAAGAGTTGAAGAAATCAGTTCCATTCGTTCATCCGAAAATCATTGTACCCTTCATTGAAATAATCGCCCGAAGTAAAGACAGATCTACTGATGTGTCCAAGTGGGTAATTTACCATATTTGTGGATTAACTATGCATTTCAAACTTTTAGCTTAGAGATTTAGAATATTTTATACTCTAGTTTTTCATTTCTTACTTTCTGTTCAAGCTAGAAAATTTAGGATATTCGTCCCCCGATAAAGGTCAACCAGTCATCTACGATCTGTTTTTTAATTCGTTGCCCACTTTTCTCGACGATAATACTTCTTTGCAATCCAATGTTCCAAGTCACTTTTCCCTCCATGTCAGCTATCGAATGGAACAATAAATGTACACCTGACCCCAATTGTCCATGACTACTGGAGACGAAAAAAACACCTCAATAGAACAAAAAATAGTTAAGTTCAAGGTTTTTCCATGGTGATGAAGTCTTATACAACCAAGACAATCAGTTTGTCAAAGCAAAAGTTTCAATTAAAGTACCAAATGCACAGATGGTACGCTATCTTAAAGCCCATTATCTGGTCAGTTTTGAGTGCGTGCATTGGTGATTAAGAGCATCATCTTTGTTTGACCCTTTTTATTATTATTAGGTTAGTAAAACACTGGCTAGTTTTGAACTCTTGTCAACGGAATAGTGCTTGATCTTCATTGATTTTGACGATTTTTCATGTTTCATTAGCTACCGTATGTTTAGTTGATCTTTATAACGGTGCTTCTCCATCCACTAACCCCCGCCATTGCCTCTAATTAACTTATCATATCTGCTCTTTCTCAGTAAAACTCTGTTTTTGTTTACTCTTCAATAATTGACTAGATTGTCTGCCAAATGAAAGTATCCATATTCGGAATGTGTCCCTAATTCCCACAAGAATTAACACAAAACGCATAGGGTATCAGAAGCGTCAGTGCTGTAGGATATGGAATTTGGGTCGGCACACATTATCCGGTGGAATTTTTCCCCTTGTAAATGGACAGTCGCTTAGTAAATATCTATGGACTTGGGAGAGTNGGAGAGTACCGTTCTTTTGTAGAATTGCTTACTGAGGCTGCTTTCTCCAATTTACGTGAAACGATAAGTACAATGTCTGATAATCAAGATGTTCTATGAACAGGGACAGTCCTTTCACAGTTTTCTCATCCTTGTTGTTGGATTCTAGACCTATATTTTAAACGTTTTTTAACACGTGATTCTGCGTTTGGTTCTTATTTCTTGTTGTGTCGGCTATTGGGCTCATTACCAATAACACTCTTGTGTAACAAATGTAATCAGATACAGGTCGCCTGGCTATAGCCATTATGTTTGTTCTGAGATTTATTGCAGTATGGTTGGAACGTTTGCAACTCACTAAACGTCACTCATAAATTGCAATAACCTTTTGGAAATGAAAGAAGTGTGCACAATTGAACGAGAGAATGTTTTTTGATAGCCTCGTAAAAAACTGTAAAAGATGAATACCTCTTTAGTGGTTAAGGTTGTGTCAGGTTATTATGCTGGGACTGCTAGACTGAATGCTTAAACAGCGCGTTTATCTGACTAACCAATTTTGTCTGTAAAATGACAAAACTAAATTTCGATACATCATGTTGTGTCTGCTCTTTTTCAATCTAGTCCAATTAAAGCAAAGGCCGAAGCTCTGAATGCGGCCCTGATAAGACTGTGGCAACAAATTTTGATGAATAAGGAAAAAATCATTGTCGCCTGCGACGATCTAGATCAATTAGATGAAGGTGAGTTTCTGATGTATTTCAATTTAACATGAAGCGTGTCCTACTGTGACTGATTGGTGTGTGAGCGATGTTATGATGTCTTTCCGACTGATTTATTGAACTCAATATTGATATATTTATTTTGGCAAGCCACATCAAATGTTGATTCTCAGAAATGCTCATAATAATAAAAAGCGCAGTTTTGTTCATTTGAAGTTTGTGCAATTATGTTATCCGAATGGAAGATAATTTTTTTGAATGTGTGCAAATTTACCAACTGGGTTAACAATACTGATCCGGTTTATTGGTAAACTACCTGAAAAATGTTTTGGACTTAGAAAAAGGAGTATTTTCTTGTCATAGATGCCAGTGGAATTTTTCATACACACTCGTTTACTACCGTACTTTCCATTGGCCATATGTATATTTTTGATAAGAAGTAGTATGTGAATGACTGAACAAAATTTCCCTGGAAGCACACGACCGGTTTCGTGGTTCTTGCCACTCGTCAGGCATGCGTATCCGGTAATCTTTTATCAGTTCATATATATATGCAGTGGGGCGTAGATTCAACGCCTTTGCGCGACCGAAACATTCGTGTGGAAGCTTCTAGAGAACTGTCAAGCAAAGTGTTCAGGTTTCGGTTCAGTGTGTTGTTCGCTGATGCATTGACTGACGGTCCGCTGTACAAGATTGGCCGTTAGCCTCGTGTGTTCAGTGAGAGAAGCTAAACGTGGACGAGGCGGCACTTGATTGGCTGGGGACTACCCAGCTTGGGTGGGATGCAGCTCTCCAATTGCGGAGATTTGTCACACNTTGTCACACCGTCCGGAGGAAGCCCCATGTTCCCTGTTCCTGTGTCGATCAAGCGTGGTTTTTGATCAGTGAAATGCTCCTCTCTGTGTTTGTTTTCCAGAAGGACCTCTCCCGGAGCCGGAGTGGATAGTCAGAGGAAGCCAGTCAACTGGTCATGTGAAACAGCATCGTGTGGCGCTCTTGCATTTACTTGTTGTCCCAATAGCGTCAGTTTTAATCACTTCTCTATTTTCACCCTGGCATTGATTTTAAAACCACAGTCTTTCCTTTACTCCTTCATTCTACTGGTTAGCCGGAAGAAATCAGCCAAAACCGCACAAAAATTCATGGTAAATGGTTGTAGACATTGCAAATGCAACTGAATAACGGGAAAGTTGTTCTTGCAGTATCTTTGATTTAAGGTCATACATCAATGAAATTGTCTTTACCGTGTTTTGCTTGTAAAACTTTCTTTTCAATGCCAATGGTTTTAATTATCCTTTTCCTTTAGTTAAAAAATAAAAAGATGAATTATGGCAAAGTAGTGTCTTATCTATCGGTTCGATTAATGCTCACATTTTGTTCATCCCCTTAGAGTCAGAAAACCAAACTGTTGGCTTTCTCTGTTTCCGCTTTTTTGTTGACTTCTGATTGCTTGGCAGCTTTTCTGTAAACCATATTTATAGCTACTCTTGTCGTTTAGCTGCAGCTTCACAAATGATAAATACAATAACTAATGAAGTCTGTCGTTTGATCTGATGTTAAAAAGTTGAGATTGTCAATTATCGCCTTGAATATTGTGTAATTTTAGAAGAGATCCCCGTTAATAATTGGGCTGACATGATGTCAGAAGCAACAGGTTTACACGTACCGTGGAGATACTTACGTCCGTTTCTGGTACGTAGTGGTGCAAACTCGTCCACGGTGAAGTACAAATCGCTCTTTGAGGGAACGTGCGTGAAGCACGATATGCTACATGTAAGTCAAATCTGATACAGATCCATTAAAAGTTAATGACAACCATTCTGCAAAACCTAATAATTACTACACAGTTTGGTCCTTGTACTGTAGACAGTTTCAAGAGCGCTTACAGAATATGTTGTAGAGAATAATAATAAAAATAACAATAATAATATTAACAACAAAAATAACAATAATAAAAATTTATTTCCGTGTGCAATAATCAGAATAAAAATAATTGTGTCTTACATATTTCATACTTTCCATGTACCAAGATCTGATCGTTATGTAGTACATAGAATCACCATCTTATTGTCTTTATAGAAGTTAACTTTGTCTCATGCACTTACTATTAACTGGTACATGAGATTGAAACAATGCATGTGTTTCTGTATATGCGTGTTTATAATTATACACTTATGTATGCGGCAGTTAGGAAAATTTCGAAGTGAGATTTTCTGTTAATGGTGACCGCTAAAACGACTGGACAGTGCCGATTGATACGAAACCAAAGTTATTAGCTTCAAAAAATCAGGTGCTTGAGTAGGCCAAATATGTTATCTTATAAATTGCTTAAAATAATCGTAAACAATATTATTTTTGTATCGTTACTTGCCTGCATTGCTTCTAGGGTCAAGATGAATTGGCGGGTGACCTATTGCGCCATCTAGACGCATTGAAATCAACAGCGCAATTAATCGATGAAGATGATACCGGTATGCAATGCTGACATCGAAATTATGATCAATGCACAACCAAATCTATTTTAATTATCGAACTAATTAAGTTTTTATTGCCTTGTGTACTTTATCTCCTTGACTTAAATGGTGATAAAATTCCCACAGTAATGATGCCTTTGAATATATGTAAAAGTTTGACGATGCTCACCCTAGAACACAAATTCACGCAAAGCGCTTGGCCCCTGGATCTGTTACTACATGACGATTGATGGTCCTGGTGGATTTCTACATCAAAGAGCTAGGATTTTATGCAGAAAAGTACGAGTTACTTCCAATATCTTTTCATTCAGTTGGTTTCTGAGCGATAACATCTTAATTTCGCCGATTCATGAACTTGGTCAATAAATAATCCGTGAAATTTAGTTTAGAAGTGTTCTTTTTTTAGAAATATTTATCTTTGAATTTTTGACTTCTTGATATTTTCNACATTAAAAACAGGATATGTAGTTTTATAGGTCAATAATTCTTATTGAATGAAGTTCAATCTCATTTTTTTAATCAAAATTCCAGTCTGTTTCAGCAAGTTAATCTTTTATTGTGAGACTAAGTATGTGATATTTAAACCAAATGTTTAATTTTATTGCATTAAGATAAGCCTTTTGGTGTACTTAAACGCGGGTAGTGTTTGAAATACAGATTATTCTTGATGTCGCGTGATGATTGTAACTGTTGGACTGGCCTCGTTAACTTGATAATTCCATTGCGATTTTCGATTCTGAGTAGAGATTGGTTTATTGGCTTAATCATTCTAATTCCTTTAAGCGTATGGTTGCTTTCATTTCTGAAAAACGTTTATTATGATTTGATTTATACATTAGGACATTGTCTATATATATATATATATATATATATATATATATATATATATATATATATATATATGATCTTGTCGTAATTTTGCTTTAGGGAATATCCCCTTTCTTCGTGATTTGGAAACCATGAGTAAACTGAAAATTCAAAGTTGTGCACTTTGTGAATGAACCGCATTCCTTAAAAGAGATGAACATTTTTCGGATTATTTTGCACATGTTCCGTTTCTCTTAACCCATTTACGTTTTGCTTTTGAAAGGAATCATCGATTTGAACAGATTACATAGCACACTGTCCGTGGTTCAAAGCAATGCCCAAATTGCCAAATTGCAAGAACTTATCTCTCGACTGATCAACCATCTGGATGTTGATTCAATTGGTTCCTTTGATTTCTCAAACTTTCTCTCTCGATTCCGGTTTATTGAAGTGGGGAAAAGAGATAAGGTTTAATTTCAGCCGGTGAGTAGTTCTTATTTCCATTTTTTGCAAAGATTTCACCAACACTTGTATTCTTTATTGCTCGCTTAATTGTTTGAAATATATGTTAACTAGTAACAACAGAATTCACGCCGAGGAGGTTCTATGTTTTCGTCATCCCCTTATGGTAATTTCTACCTCAATTAATACATGGGTGTTATGAAATTCGGCATACTGTGTTCTGTCTCAATTTCCATCGGTTTAATCAGATTTGGTCTTGGTTCAGTTTTCAGTTAGTACAACCAATAACCACGC